GTTGTCACCAGATTGTAGCCTTCATAAACCCGATTCAGTTTTAGAAGCGACTCTTCCAACAAAACCCAGTTACCAAGTTTCAGAGTGTGAAGTTGAAATATGGGGGCAAAATCGTTCTTATCAGTTAGTTCATAGACAACATTATCATGAAAGTAGATAGTGTCACCACTAAACTGGTTGGCTCTCAGATCTCCATGGTCAAATGGTATCTATCCATTTGGAATTGTTATATGTAACGCCATTTAATGTTTTAGAAAGTAGATTGAAAGAGTGAGTTTTAAGGGTTTTGCATAGACAATAAATATTTCTTGAGACAAGAGAGGGAGTCGGTCGGAGAGAGAAAATAGAAGAAGATGGAAAGAGTTGAAAGGGGTTTGTATAGATGGTTGAGACAAGAGAGGGAGCCAGGAGAGAGAAAATGGAAGAAGAAGGTTTTAGGGTTTTTTAAAAGAGAGAGAGAAAGAGGGGACGTAAAAGTAGGGTAAGAATTAATATTTTAACATAACTAAATAAATGAACGATCAGGATTAAATAGTAGGTTGGCTAACTGTCAAAACGATAAAGAAGATCAAACCAATGGTACGGTTATATACACACACCTTTTTGAAAGAAAACCAAAAGACAACAAAAATACACATGTATATAGTTGAGATTATAGAGAGAGAGAGTGTGTGAGTATGTGTATATATGTATGTATATGTGGAATGGATGGTGGTGATTGAGTGTGGAGTGTTTGGGATGGATGAATAGTGAATCATAATAATGGGATAATGAAAGTGTTGTGAGATTTATTGTGCTAAGGCGATTGTACCACATTCGTCCAGATTGCTTCAATCCATATAAGGATCGCTGTAATTTTATCGAGTATATATTACGTGGTTTTGTTTCAGGCATTTTAAATCCTTCTGGGATTTTTATATAAATATTACTATCTGGTGATCCATATAAATATGTTGTAACCACATCCATTAGATGCATATGCAATCTTTCTGTGACTGCCAAATGTATTATGAATCTAAATGTGGGTGCATCTATCACAGAGGAGTATGTTTCCTCATAATCAATATCAGGTTTTTGTGAGAAACCTTGAGCTACCAGTCGAGCTTTGTATCTCACGATTTCATTTTTCTCATTACGCTTTCGTACAAACACCCATTTGTACCCAACAGGATTAACACCCTCAGGTGTCTGGACTGCTGGTCCAAATACTTCACGTTTAGCTAATGAATTTAGCTCTGTTTGTATTGCTTCTTTCCATTTTGGCCAATCATTTTTTCGTCAACATTCTTCGACGTTTTGAGGTTCCGGATCCTCATTATCAATATCAAGAGCAATGGCATATGAGAATATGTTGTCGACAATAATTTCATTTCTATTCCATCTCATTTCATAATTTAGTGAGATCTCATCATTTTCAGGTACTTTTGTCTCATCAAGAGCATGTGCCTCATCAAGGGCCGCATCATCATCTGTTGCCTTTGCCTCATTAATATTTATCATTTCATCATTTTTAGGTACCTAAGACTCATCAAGAGCCTCAACCTTATCAAAAGCTATTATCTCAAATTGATCAACAACATCTGTTGCTCCTTTTGTGGCCTCTTCAAAAGTGCTAGCTTTTCTTTGTAATTTCCTCTTTCGAGGAACAATATCTTTTGCACCAACTGGTTTACCACGCTTCAGGCGTGTTTTAGATGCATTTGCTGCATTACTGACAGAAGATCCCTCAGGGACAGCAATTCATGCCGGAGCATTTGCAGCTGGTATATGTGATTTTATTACTTTCTTTGTATCAGTAAATGCATCAGGTAATTGATTTGCAACATTTTGCAAGTGAATGATCCTCTGAACTTCTCGTTCACATTGATTTGTATGAGGATCAAAATGAGACAATTCCAAGGCATTCCAAGTAAGATCACGTTGCTGCTGTGCCTTTTCTCCCCCTAATGGTGGGAAAATAGTTTCATCAAAATGACAGTCAGCAAATTGTGCTTTAAAGACATCACTTGTCAGGGGTTCAAGATATCTAATAATAGATGGAGAATCAAAACCAACATAAAATCCAAGTCTACGTTGAGGACCCATTTCAGTGCGTTGGGGTGGTGCAATTGGAACATATACAGCACAACCAAAAACTCGTGTGTGAGATATATTTAGTTGTTGACCAAAAACAAGTTGCAATGGTGAGTACTCATGATAAGCAGTTGGTCGTATACGAACTAATGATGCAGCATGTAATATGGCATGACCCCAGGTAGAAACAGGTAATTTTGTTCGCATAAGCAAAGAACGATCAATTAACTGAAATCTTTTAATAAAAGATTTAGCCATACCATTTTGAGTATGAGTGTGTGCAATAGGATGTTCAACATTAATTCAAACTGACATGCAATAATCATCAAAAGCTTGAGAAGAAAATTTAGTGGCATTATCAAGACAGATTGTCTTAATTAGGTAATCAGGAAAATGTGCCCGTAATTTGATGATTTGAGTAAGAAGTCTAGCAAATGCAACATTACGAGTAGAAAGCAAACAAATATGTGACCATCGTGTTGAGACATCAATTAAAACCATAAAATAGCGAAATGGTCCACAAGGTGGATGAATTGGCCTACATATATCTCCGTGAATTCATTATAAAAATGGGGGAGCTTCAACAATGACTTTTGAAGGGGATGGTCTGATAATCAACTTACCTTGCGAGCAGGTGGTGCATAGATGATTATTTGGTAAGATGATTTTTTGATCCTTTAGTGGGTGTCCATGTGAATTTTCAATAATTCGACGCATCATTGTACTTCCCGAGTGACCAAGTGGATCATGCCAAAGCATAAAAAGTTTTGGGTCACAAGATTTTTTATGTATCACAACATTGGACTCAATTATCCTAATGGTTGTATAGTATAACCCAGAAGAGAAAACATGGAGTTTTTCTAATATCTGCTTCTTGCATGAGGTAATGGAAGTAAGGTGGAGATATTCCACATTTCTTTCATTTGCGGTCTCAATATAATACCATTACGACGCAAGTCTTTTAAACTCAACAGATTTCTCTGAGATCTTGTAGAATATAAGGCATTATTGATTTGTAATCTTGTTCCATGTGGTAAAATGATATTGGCTCGTCTGGAACCTTCAATCAAGTCAGTGGGATTTGATATTGTACTGACACTAGCGTCTGTCAGAGTTAGGTGAGAAAAATATTTTTGATCTCGAAGGATTGTATGTGTTGTTCCACTATCTGCAAGACATATGTCTTCACCATTTATTTTGGAACTAGTCAGATCCATTCCTATTCATGCAAATTTCTTTATCAGAAAAGAAACATTTATAATAAAAGAAATTTTAATACAAACTAGAAGATAAAAACTTTAATACAAGGAAAACAAAAGCATAATAGACAGAACATGAAAAGAAAATAGGATTAATTGGTGTGGACATTTCCATCACCAATTAGGAAGTCTATCTTTCCATCATGGTCCTTAAAAAAACTGATACATCCAGATTTGTGATGTCAATTGGCTCATCATGATTAATGAAATTCATTTCTAGATTTGTGATGTCAACTGCCTCATCATGATCGATAAAATTCATTTCCTTTTGTTTCCCCTTTTCTTTCATTGAGGCTTGGTAAAGTTCAGCCAGATGCTTAGGTGTATGACAAATGCTTTGCCAATGCCCTGCCATGCCACACCGATAACAAGTATTATCATGTGCCTTGGGAGGTTGAGCCACATCCTTCCCTTGTACTTGTCTCATTTCGTTATAATTCCTCTTTTGGGGATATGGTGTGGATCTTTGATTGCGAAAATGTGAAGATTGATATCCTTCAAAGTAATAAGAATGATTTCTACCACGACCATATTCATTATTGTGGTAGTTATTTTTACCACGACCATATTCATTATTATAGCCATTTCTACCATCACGTCCACGTCCACGTCCACGACCACGACCACGACCACGGGATGAGGCAACATATGTTTCAGGGATCGGTGTCGATCTAGTTGGACGAGACCGGTGGTTTTTTAATAAAAGCTCATTATTTTGTTCTACCACAAGTAAACATGATATCAGCTCTGAATATTTTTTAAATCTACGCTCTCGATATTGTTGTTGTAAGAGCACATTCGAGGCGTGAAATGTAGTGAATGTTTTTTCCAACAAAAGTTCATCAGTAATGGTATCACCACATAATTTCAATGTAGAGCTGATTTTAAATAGGGCAGAGTTATATTTAGCCACAGTTTTAAAATCTTGCAACCGCAATTGCTGCCAATCAGCCCCAGCCTTTGGGAGGATAACTGTTTTTTGATGATCATATCTTTCTTTCAAATTGTTCCACAAACACAGTGGATCTCTTTCAGTGAGATATTCAGTTTTAGCTCCTCACTAATATGGCGCCGAAGGAAAATCATAGCCTTCGCTTTATCTTATAATAATGCATCATTTTCTTTTTTAGTTGTGTTTCTAAGGTCCATGGCATCTAAATGGATCTGAGCATCCAGAATTCAAGATAAATAATTTTTGTCAGAAATATCCAAGGCCACGAATAACCTTTGAAGTCAGAAATATTATTTTTTTCGATAAAGCAAACCAACCCAATAATCTATCAAAACTAGTATTACAAAATAGATATATAATTGAGATAGAAAGAGAGAGAAAAAACTTCTCCTTTAAATCTCAGATGGATATACTTCGTGCTAATAATGTGTAATAAATATATATGATTTAGTAAGAGAATGGAGAAAGTATTACAAGTATAACAGAGAGAGGTAATTGAATTGTGCACACCATATTGCACACACCATTTCATACATCTGATGCCTATACACACCATTTCATACTTCTGATGCCTATTTATAGGCATTCAATTCGTGAGCTTCCCATATAAGCTCGCTGCCATTTCCAATGTGTGGACCCCACACAAAACACATATGGACATGACAAAATATGAAAAATTGAGGGCAAAAAATGTTGGTACTATATCATAAAACATAAATAATCCTGTGCAGATCGTTACAGAACTAAATTAAGTTGAAGAAGTGAGACACACATTACACACACCGTCCATGAAAAATGACCTCCCTGATTGCTCGTAGTCTGATACCAAGAAACAACCCAACGCTTTCATGCAAAATCAACCACTCCTCAATTCCCTTCACCACAAACCCAACTCCATCTCTCAGTTTCTCTTTCTCTCTCTTCAAACCCCAATTTCTGTCTTTTAATAACTCAGGATGTGGCCGAGTCCACTCAGTCCATCCACACAGATCTTCCCAAAATCCATTAAGAATCCTGTTCAGTCTCGAGACACTCATTCTCTTCATATTCTCTCTCTCTCTTCTCTGCCTCAGGATCGCCTCGGATGTCATCGTCCCCGATTTCACTCACCGATGGCATCAACTCATTGCGTTCTCCGAAGAGTCTGAGGCCAAGTTTAGCCATTACCCGTCGCATTTGTGGCGAGCTGTTGTTGCCTACGAAGACCGGCGGTTCTTTCGGCATTTTGGGATCGACCCAGTTGGCATTGGCCGGGCTGTGTTGTCCTTTTCGGCTCTTGGAGGTGGTAGCACTATAACCCAACAGGTACGTTTTTGTCCATGCACAGCCAATGTTTGATGTTTTGCCTCTTCAGAGTCGGTCTGTTTATTATGATTGTTTATTAACTTTCTTTTGAGTAGTGGGTGGTCTCTTTTTTCTTTATTTGAAATGGGTAGGACGGTGATTGTGCGAATGCTATATAAAAGTATTGTATTTGTGCTCGGTAGTTCAATCTTCTTCGGTTAAATAAACACATCCTTAGTTCTATATATTACATCCCTATGTGATCTTATCACCAAATGTAAACCCACCTCTACTTGCACCATTGAACTGTCTGAAATCGCTGTAGAGAGAGAATACGGTGGTCACTGTCAACCTCAGCAGCAGAAGTTGGGAAAAAAAAATCTGGAGAGAGCCAGGGCAGAAGGATTCTACCCTCATCGATACCTATTCATCAGAACCATTTCCGTTCTTTCCTTCATCTTTACTTTATATTAAGTCCTTGTTATTCTTGCTCACAACAGTCAAATCTCGTGCTCTATCCTCTATGGTTAGGATAGTGATTGTGCGAATATATAATTAATGGTAATCAATTTGTTCAATGAGAATATTATATAAAAGAATTGTATTTGTGGATGGTAGTTCAATCTTCTTCGATTAAATAAACACATCCTTTGTTCTAGATACTACATCCCTAGCTGATTTTAGCACCAAATGTAAACCCACCTCTACTTGCACCATTAATCTGTCTCAAATCGCTGGAGAGAGAGAGAGAGTATGGTGGTCAATGTGAACCTCTGCAGCAAAAGTTGAAAAAAAAATCTGGAGAGAGCCAGGGCAGACAGATTCCACCCTCATCAATATCCTATTCATCAGAACCATTTATGTGCTTTCCGTCATCTTTACCCTATATTAAGTCTTTGTTATTTGTCGGAGTTCATATAACTGAACTCTACTGCTTTGGGTCTCCAAGCATTTGACAGCTGCAGCACATGCAGTTTGTTATTTTCCTGTAGCGGACGTTGGATGGATTGTAATTTAAAAGAGAGATATATTTATAATTCTATCAGAAATAATTGTTCAAAATAGTGGCATTTGAGAAAAGTAGTTTCAACTCTTTAAAAGTTAGCTTTTGGATTAATGGTTACATCTGTTAATTGAACAGTCACGTATATTCAAATAGTGTCATTAGCTAAGTCACATAAAGCGGGAGCAGGAGCGAGAACGAATTTGAGAGCGGGAGCGTGCTCGGAGCTTGAGAGCGACACCCGTTGCGAAGGATTGTGTGACTTAGGGACTCATTAGGACTGCATCCATTTGTACTGTATAAATAGAGTGCTTGATTCAGAAATTAGTTTCAACTCTTTCCAGTGTTTTTCTTGTATTATGGAGGTGTTTTCTTGTGCCCGGTAGCAAACTCACATTGAGTGGGGCAAATAACACCTTAAGGACAACGTTATTCTACGAGCCTCAAAGCCACAAATAGTGTTCATTGATTCCTTCTTCATATTACCATACCGGCCATAACAATGGACACCCAAAGCTGCCATATTCAATACTTGCACAACAAGCTAACTTCTACTTGTGTCTTATTCATGAGCCATCCAACACCTTCACTTGATATGAAAACCATGACGCATCCATTTCCGGTTCATGAAATATGAGTCTAACTGCCAGAGGCAGTAGTATCCCCCATCAAGATGGCAATATCAACTGGTCAACTCCACCGTTAGGGTTCTGTTATCTGCACAACTGCAGACTGAGACTTTTTGGGGGAGCTTCCTTAAACCAACAGATACAATCATAACCAGACAACACTTGGTTGTTGGGACATTGCTTTAAGCACTGTATCAACTGGTGATTACAGGCTTGCAGTTACTGCCTCTGATGCTATACTGCTATGGCAGACTCCAACCTTACTCCTACGATCTTGTTGCTGGAAGAACATGATCACTCCACGAGCAATTTGTCCCCTTCCTAGTGATTGATTTTGCTTCCTTTCACTCACGAGCGCGAAGATGCAGGGAAAACCTGCTGATCTAATTGAACTAGATAAATCGTAGATAAGTCACAATACCATCAATCAGATATGATGAACACCACATTAAAACACTCACAACCTCTCGAAACATAAAAAAACAAACTCAGAAAAATCAATCCTCTCAAAACTCACTCTACGCTCTGACAATAGTGTCTCTATTGGTGTCTATTTATGTTAGCTAAGACATGAGTTTACATACAAAAGAGTCCTTAAAACTGGTGAAAAAGAAGTTTATAAAAAATTTAGTTCATATTTTGTATTTGGGTTGAAAAAGGAGTTCAAAACCAATCAGAAAATAGGTTTTAACACCTCCACCGGTTGGTGAATTTCTGTCCAATAGAACTGGTTGGGCAAAAATCCCAACCAGTTGAGAAGCATTCTGGAAAAACAGTTTTCGTTCCAGAATCAAGTACAACCTGTTGGGATAGAAAATAATTTTAAACTTCTAAACATGGTTGAACTGGTTGGGCAAAATTCCAACCGGAGGGTCCTGAGTGATTTTAACACAATTTTTCAGAACTTCAATCAACCCAATTTTGTAAAACAAAAGTACACACTCATTTACCTGTTCTATGTGATGTCCAAATCCAATCGATAGGTATCGAGTTCATATCGAACACTTGACGTTTAGCTTCCGAAATCAAGACTCAAAACAAGCATAAAACTACAACTTGATTCACATGTTTTGACACCGAAATTTGCCAACTCCAATCAATGCCTACATAAGATGGATGAAGACCGGGGCCTCCTAATTTAAAGGATAGAGAATAAGAGATGGGGAATATAGAGGCTTTTCTTTCGCACTTCGGAGGTGAATTACACATGAATTTTTCTCTTTTCCTGTCAGAGTTATTGATACTCCTTTTTTCTTTCACACTTCCTAGGGATTGCCTGACTAACTAAAATATTAAGCGTGGAATGTATCCTCGTTTTTTCTATTTTCTGGGAAATATTTATAGATCTTAAGGGTGGAATATTACTCATAAATTTTTGTGTAATACTGAAAGCTGCTATTTATAACTTTGCTAGGTGAGACTGCTTCAGTTACTTTCTGTATATTGTGATCGTATGCTTCCCTGCTTAATAATATAGCAATTATTTCCTTAGTCCGTCATACTCTAGTGACTCTATTTTTGTTCCTTAAACCATAGGTACATGACATCAGGCTTGTAGGGATTGAAGTGTATTACTTTTGAATTCTGGAAATAGTTTATAGTTTTTGAAATTAATTTAACACTAGTATAAAAATTCTCATTATTCTTAGAATTGATTTTAGTACTTTATAATTCAATCAATCCCATTTATTTCTGTTTTTTAACGCTCTTGATTCCACATGGCAGCTTGTCAAGAACACTTTATTGAAAAATGAACGTACATTCTCGAGGAAAATTGTTGAGATGGTTTTGGCTCTAGCATTGGAGAGGACAATTTCAAAATTGAGAATCTTGAGCTCCTATTTGAGTAAGGTCCAGTGTATTTTCAATTTATTGCAAGGTAGTTTTGTAATATTACTCTTTTAGTGACTAAAGGAGATTGATGTATCCCCTTTCCCTTTTTCTTTTGTTAAAATTTACAGAAGAAATTGTGTTATTATCAACTTTTCAGTTTAAAATGCATTCTTTAATGTGTTACCACCAGTTACCACACATGTCAGCCATTTCCGAGGAGATTCCGGATGCAATTAGTACAGAATATATATATATCAGTGAATGATATATATTATTCACTAGCCCTTCAATGTTTAAAAAAGGAAAAGAGAAAAGGATGGCTGATGAGAAATGGGCAGGGCTTTGAATATATCTTCAACTCTTTTAGACATTGTTTTCTTTTCTTAGGATAACATATTTGTTTTTACGTTTTCTTTTCATTTACAAACTTGTCCCTCACCTTCAAGTAATATTTGATGTATGCTATACATGTGATAATCTTGAAACTGGTTGTTGTTATTCATGGATAATCATTTCCATTATAGGCATATGGTCGCATAAACTCAAATCTTGGAGAAATTGAAATGTATATAGGTTATGAATAAAACGCAGAGGCGGAAAAAATGAAAGAGGTCAAGGGGTGAACATTAGGGATGTAACCTATTTCTTTGATTATTTACTTATATGGTTTGGTTTGGCTATACCAAAGTAACTTCGTTATTTGATTATTTGGTTATATGGGTTTAGTTTGGCTACTGCGGTTGAGCTCAATTCAACTTTCTGCCTAGTTGCGGAAACTTTGACAGCAACGGGAGCAACTCTAGCTTGCCCTGCCATGCCTTGACATTCCATATAGAAATTAGAGAAATTCATCATTCGTTCATCAATCTCCTTAGGAAATAAGCAAAGTTGATGGGCCCATAAACATCCAAAATTTGTTTGCCTTCTCTGGCATGATTTCTCAACTAAAACTGTACAATAAACTATTTGACATCTTGTCAACTATCTCCATTGGAAATTTGGAAAGTACTTGACAAGAAAACTGACATGGCCGTTAATGTTTGAAATAAATGAGGTAACCAACACTTTGATCAAACTAACCACAACAGTCTTATTTCCATAACCATATTGGTTATGAATTCTCCTCTTTCTACCTATAATTCCACAACTTCATTTATATCATGTTTATGGAGAAGGGACCTAAGGGTTTTCAGAAACGGATTTATGTATTACATTTTCTTCCTTCCTTTAAGGTGATGTGTTAGGGTCCACTGATTCATGTACTCTCTTACCAAAATCCAAATAGGTCCTGAATCATATGGATAAATTAGAGACGCTTACTAACAATGCCAATACAGGAAGGCTTTTATGGACGACTTTTCAAGAATAGTATAGGTCACTGTTACGTCTTTAGGGTAGTTATGATTCATTTTCTTTTTATTTCTAAGCTTGAGTATGGATCAGTAGATGAAGATCCCTTACCAGTAGATTTAATTACCTCATATTATATATTGTCAATGCTTTGACAATATAAAGTGCAAAAAACTTTCAAAAAAAATATATACATATAAAGTGCAAAAGGGGTTTGGCCTCTCTTGAAACCAAATACAGAAATATCATGGAAGATCGAATCTTTGCATGTGAAGCCATTCTAAGCAAACCTGACAGAGCAATTTCTTATGTTACTCATGTTGTGCTCATGAGCTCAAAGCTAGGAAGCACCGATACTTCTACTGGTGTGCCGTACTCGTATCGTGTCTGTGTCAGATACCGATACTCCTCTGATACTCACGGATATGTGTCTGATACTTCCTAAATGTATCCATAATTTTAAAATATATATTTTTAATTTCTAACACGAATATGATGCTTCTCAGATACTTCGACCAAGTATCCGATGCTTCTCAAATACTTCAAGACACATATTTAACAAGTTTTGAACATTAAAATGTAACTTTTCCAACACTAATATCATAAGTTAAATAAAGTTTAAAATTTATTCAAAAATGAAGTATTGAGATATATATATATATATATATATATCATGATTTAGTCCAAAATTTATACATGCAATATAACTCTCAACTTATTTTGTTTGTTCATCATAATTTTTTTTTTTAATTTTTTTTATGTATAAATATATATCATCATCATCATCATCATCCTCGCCTTATCCCATATAAACGGGGTCGACCACATAGATTCTCTTTTTCCACTCTTTCCTATCATAAGCCATATCTCCTACCAGATTTTATTTCTTAAAATCATTTCTTATCACTCCATTCCATGTTATGTATAATTTAGATTGATTTATATACATATCTACGATTATAAAAATATATATTTTGTCGTGTCCTTGCATATCCGTATCCTATTTTGTAAAAATTTGTCGTATCATTGTATCCATATCGTATCGTGTCCGTATCCATAATTCATAGGCTCAAAGTTATGATTGAGCTTGGCTTGTCTGTGTTCTTAGCTTGAACCAACTGTAAACTGGCTGAACTTGAATAACTCGCAATCTACTATTCATTTTTACAATCTTGTCTCAAACATTTAAGTTATTGGTCCTCTTGTTACCTGATTTTTTTTTGTTTATTTAAGTAAACAAATTGTCACTTTGTGGGCGCATGCAGTGAAAAGTTCACTATAATTCTTCTGTCATTGGACTAGGGCGTTTAAAATTGCGTCAAGGAATTCTTTTATAGAAGTCACTGAATTGTTACTCTGCCAACATTTATGGCTCCTGTTACAATTATTTATGGAGATGTTTCTTACAATCCTGGCACACGTTGAGTGCTTTTTTCTTTGGTGAATGACAGAGATAATGATATGTTACAGATATACTGGGGACATGGTATTTATGGCATTGAATTGGCATCATATTTTTATTTCCGGAAGCATCCAACCATTCTCAGTTTGGGGGAGTGTGCAATGCTTGCCGGGATTATACCAGCACCAGAGCTCCGATCGCCACTCAGGGACCCCGGCAGGTTTGTAATTATTGTTGGAATTCTTGTACTCAAATTTCCTTTGGATTTTTAAAGTTCTTTCTATTGTTCCTAAAGTTGTATAGTCATATATTGCTTGGAACCTTATCCAGTATTAAGTTCATGGATTTAGTTCTAAAGGGTTAACCTCTCACATCTTTCAGAGGGAAGAAATACCAAGTTAGAGTACTGAAAAGAATGGTGGAAGTTGGTTTTCTTGATATCGAGACAGCACTTATGGTTGTGAAACAATCTGTTCATTTGCATGCCGATCAGGCAGATTATGTGGATGGATTGTTGCCTTTGATGTCTTCCTTTAGGGAGGTCAGTTAAAGTTTTCTTCCTATATCTCATGTTAGCAAGTGTTATGGACTTAAATGTTTGTATAATGTATATATACACATGTTATGACTTTAACCTGGGGAAGTAACCCGGTCAATGGGTCACTGGTTCAATTGTCAGATCAACCAATTGGACCTTGACATTACAAAGATATTATGCTTATTATACTGTATTAGTAAAGTTACAAAAAGAAAATGAGAAAATTAACAATATTTGATATTATTTCATATTATTATGTCAATATGAGTATTCAAATGGGTTGTAGGCTTAAAAGGTTACATTTTCTTTTGCCTTGTCCTACTATAGTGCTTCACAAAAATATATAAGGACCCACTGTTAGAAACCCCCAAGGCCACTTCAATTCACCTAAAATAAAGTTTGTGCATTACTTGAAAGGCATATTAATTATGTTTAATGTCAAACTTTCATCAAAGGACTGCAGGTTAACTAAATTATTAATAATTTAAAGAATAAATTATAATGATAATCATAAAACTACTCAATGCATCATGCAGTAATCATGTAACCGTCAAACATATAAATATGAAAGTAGTAAAAATAAAGAGCATAATGGACACAAATTTTTATGTAGAAACTCCAAACGATAATAATTCAATATCTCATAACCCCTAGTTACCTCTTGCCACAAACTGATTCACCGAACTCACACGCAGAGTCTCCAGTCACAGTTTTCTCAGTCAATAAATTTTGCTCCTCATGCAATCTGCTTCTTCTCATGTACTTTAGTCTCTAGGCTAGTCCCAAACCAATATCTGACGAGTAGATTGAATTGTGTTGAACTGGATATAGCTCATACATGATCACTCACCAATCTAGTATGCAATATGATTGATGAATGAAAACCAAAGAGGTATATGCACTCATATTGCTCTCTATTGTATATTCTGTGTATAATTTTTCTCTGAAATAGTTGAGTATTTATAGACAATACAGAGAAGTAAAAGGATTAGGGTTTTAGAATTTTAATTTTGAAAAGGAAATTGCTTTTCCAGATAGGTCAATTAACCGAGTTAACATGTCGATCATTTGACATGTGTCTAGAAAGCTTTGATTGATCCCTCGATCCCCTATCCTTTTGCAAATTGGATTTTTAAACAATTGAAGTTTCCAAAAACACTTTTTATGCATATAAAAAAGGATTTAATGTATCAAATCATAAAAATCTATGAAACCCTCGATGATAAATGCATGAACCTTAATTTTGGTGCGTTCAAATATGCATGTCAAATGGGCATTACCCTGTGGCCTAGTTGGTAGACCGCCCAGCTCCCCGAGCGGGTGTACCCGTGTTCGAGTCCCCCCCCCCCCCTGTTGGCCAGGATAAAAAAAAAAAAATGCATGTCAAATTACCATTTTACCCTTCGCTTGAAGATTACCGTTCTGCCCTCGGTTGTAACTTCAGTTCCAACTCCACCCTTGGCCAAGAGGCAACTAACTTGACATCAACTAAAAAATAGTGGTTTGTTGATAATAAAAGAGAGAATTTGCAGAAGAAGAAAGGAAAAAGATAGATAAAGAGGATACTCTGAAGAAGAAGAAGAAGGCTTGCCGGCAGTCAAGCTTCGATGATCCATTGTAGCAAGTTTGAAGCTTGGTTCTGAAAGAGAACAAGAACCTTTCCATTTTCTCTTTGTGATCTTTTACAATATCAAACAAGTAATAACCATAAAAAGATCAAGTAAATATAATTTCTTGATAAATTTCATTTAAAAACCTTGTTATTTTATATGTTTTGACTTGCATATTATTGAAACTTTTAAAAAAATTCCTTTTATATATTTTAACTCGGTCTTTTTTTTGAAATATATCTAAAGGTGTTCGTGGTGTATCGGCATGTCCATAATGTGTCCGTGGCGTGTCCATGACATTTTTACATCATGTTCGTAATGTGTCCATGACGTTTTCACAACATGTCCAAAAAAAAGAATATTCAGACACATTTTTTGGCATCTGGGACTCATGTCGGGCCATTTCAGACAAGTGTGTCCATGTCCGACATGGACACTTCGACCTTTATTTCTAGCTATTCAATTTTCATTGGATGTCCATCTGAATGAGTTTCCATTGTATTCATGCATAATTATAATATGACTCTAAAAAGATCATTTTATATAGGCAAAAGTGCAAACCCCACCCCCCCAAACTGTCACTGAATTGCAATATACCCCCCTGGACTATTTTGTTGCAGGTCAACCCCTCAAGTATCAAAAAGTTGCATCTTGACCCCTTTCGGGTCACCGGAATACACTTTCCGGCAGTTAGAGGGTCACGTGCTGAAGCTTTTTGAATTAATGCCTAAATTGCCCTTGCATATTTCCATTATACCCCCCTCCTTCCACCCATCTGCTGCCTGTTTGCTTCAATCTTCATATTCCCTATCCATTATTGAACACACCCAAATTTTCATCCACATGAGAAAACCAGATCAGAGACAGTGATAGAGAGAGCTCCAAAACCATTCCAAGGGGGTATCTTGCAATTCAGTGATAGTTCAAGGGGGTGAAGATGCAACCTTTTGATAGTTGAGGGGCTGACCTCCAACAAAAAATAGTCCAGGGGGGTATGTTGCAATTCAGTGATAGTTCAAGGAGGTTTTTCGCACTTTTGCTTTATATATATATTTTCCAAGGATTCTTCATAAATGCGGAGAATTGAATATTATATAACAAGTCAGTTTTACAATTCGAATTATTATATTTTCTGTATATATTTTGGTTGGCAAATAGTATATTTACTTCAATCACATTGTTATGACTTTTAGTTAAGTTTTTGGAGTTATCTTTTTCTGTCTCTACTTGAATGGGGAGGGGTGGTTTATGGCAAAGATTTACTTTCCACTTGCTTGATTACATAAAATTTTGTAATACAAAGATGATTAATTTGTTACTTTGGGAATTGGAATGTCTATGCAGCAGAAAGGAAGTATGGATTCTATAATGAAGGAAATATGGGACTGGGAAACTGAAAGCAAGATTTGGGAAGCAAGAGAGGACATGGAAAGATGGGCACTAAGCATCCAGAAAAGAAATACATCAAAAATTTCTATTTCAAATGACAAACTGGATATTCAATTGTAATAGGTAATGTTCGTCAATCCCTCCACCCCACCCCAAAAAAAAAAAAAATAATGCAAGGTTTCTCTATGCGTTGGAACTGGTATGGAAATGATTCAATTTATGGAATTATGAATAGTCATTGGTTCAGTTGGTACATAGTAATCTATACATTCTCTCTTCTATATAGATGGATTTTTGACGTCTTTATCCTTTCCCCTCTTCATTTGTCCAATGGTATATAATATATTATTATTACTTTTTTGTATTTGTCATTTGTGCAAGCGCATGTAATTTTTGTAGTTTTCATACTTCATCTTCTTTGAGTCTTTAGTGGTATATTGGAATGAAAGTTTCTTTACGTGTTAACATCAATTGTTTTGATCTCTAAAAGTGTTTTTATGCATGTTGACATCGGCATTAATAATTTTTTTTTTTTTTTTTTACTTTTTAATTTTCTAGTTAGTGCCAAACATGTCTTTACTGATGATGCTGTTTATCTTACTCTTCTGTTTCTCTTCCAGACAACTGTATCAGATAGTAACCTTTTTGACTGTTTGACAAACGTTTGGGAATTCAATCCGGGGCCTGTTCCAGGAACTTGCAGCCTTTTTTTCTTGGTGGATTTCAAGTTCCAGTCACCACCTTATCGACAGGTGATGGTCTCTCTGGCCAATTTTGTTATGCATTTTTGTAGCTTTGTAAACTTCAGAATAATAGCTAACTTGTTGCTACCATTGCTTCATGAATAGAGAATTGATGAAGAAGTTTAATTACTCAATCTTTGGAATGAACACAATGTTAAGTTTATGTGGTAAATTTTGAAGAGCATAATTGTCTAAAGACTAGTTCATATGATTTACAGTTTCTGAAAATAAGTAGAAGTAATAAGCAGTCCTTCGTAAAAGTTTACCCAAAGAAACTTAATGAAATGAATTTGCAACGATTTATCTTTAGAAAGAGTTGAAAAGCCATCCTCAATGAAAGAGGTTGTGTTCAAGTGGTCCACTCTTATTAGTTGCCAAGGGATTCCTTACATGCACTCTCCTACTTTCCTTCATGTACCCATATCGACACAACACAACATGGGTATGGGTACAAGATACGTGTTCCACATACAAACCTAAATCAGACAGCCCAATCCTTCACATGGCATGGTTGAAGAAGAAGAAAAAAATCAGATTAAATAGTAGAGATGAGTTTCCTGTCTATGAGAGAGATGGAAACCCTTTTGTTTTATTACATCACATGTAATTAGAGTAATAATTGAGTATTTTTTTTTTTTTGATAAGTAAGAAGACTTCATTAACAGCTCTCAAGAGGGGAGTTCTCCCAAAGGAGAACAAAAGATGCCTATCTAAAACAACAATAAACATTAAGCTATAATAAAACATATAATGTATCTAAATGTGTAGTACGTCCCTATACAACTTTTGGATAGATATCACCGCACCCGATACACTTACCAAAGTCCAGGTAACATAAGCCAAGGGACATCTTTATGAACGCTTCCATTTGCAGCCAACCCATATGGGGAAGAGAGTGATGGCCATGTAAGACATGCCTATACAAGGCACCATTTTGCCTTCACTTGTGAACACTTCCATACTGCTGCTGTTATCACCCTATCCATCAATTCCTCCACTACCTCAGCAGGCTGCTGCTGCCATTGCATCTCCAAGAGATATGGCACCATCGTGCATTCACCACCCTCTGCCAGTTCCACAGGATGCAGTATTTTGACCATTTTCTTCCTTTTTTAGAACTAGATATTTTACTAAATTTAATTCAATTGAATCTTCGAACCAACATATGTTTGTGTGTGTGTCCGGTTGAATCAATTTTTTTTTTTAAAAAATCATGTACCTTATACAGTTTCCAATTCTCAGTTCTTTAACTGCTATAATAATGGTATTCCTTTGGGAGGAATGTGTCTTGGTCTTGGTTTCACCATAAGGAGATGTGAAAACAATAGTTGATGCAGGTTATTGGTTGAAACTGTCTTGGATGGGGCTCAGAAATCTAATGTGTGCCCCAATGGTTTGCATGGAGCTCTATAGTCTATTATTTCACATGATGGTATCAAGTTTTAGCTCGCATGGTTTCACACACCTAGACTCCACGTGAAAGTGAGTTAAAGAGATCACCATTATTTTAACAAACATTGAAGAGCCATGAACGGGTTCATTTTAAGCAAGACTCAATATTTGACTAGTGAATCATGTCTGTCCCTTGTCTCGCCGTGCCATTGTTTGGATGTGGGTTATCATATGGTTATAATGGGTCAGGTTTAAACTGCTTTACGTGTACAACCACTGGCCCTTCTGGTTGAATGAGTTCTTTGTTTATAGCTATTCCATTAGTGAATGATTATCAGGTCCAAGAATGAGATGCATAGATTTCCTGAAATATATATAGTAGTTGTTACTTGTCAGCGTATACTGACCTGAGTACTACTTATTCACATTTCACTTTTTTAATGAACTTGATTTTGGCAAGCGTTCATTTTGGTAATTGTTGAAGCCTCATACTAATTGCTTTAGGTTTTGCTTCAGGAATTTGTGGATTATTTCAAATTGTAATCTCATATGGGTTGAAGGATTATTATTATTATTATTATTATTATTATTATTTCCCTAATTGCTGAACTGTGGTGTGTTTTTATCTCTCGGTTTATTGTTATGGCAAGAGCTAAACATATTGTAGCTGTGTTAAACATGGATCGTGTTCATGATTGAAGACACCAAAAGTGACCCGGGCTTGGTATGATTCATATTGCTAAGAACGGGTCGGGTGGGGGCAACCAAGATGGAGCAAGTCCTCGCTGAATGGGCCCAGGTCCAGGAAGTCAGTAAGGAAGCCCACATTGTGATGAAAGGAGTTGGGCCCAAGCAAAAGGAAAGAAGATAGGTCCAGCCCATGAGTGATTGTAACCGTCTATAAATAGACGAAAATGAGAGGGAAAAGGGGTTGGAAAAAATTGTTTGAAGTGCACCATTTCTCTTTCTAGATTGGGGAAAATTTATGCGTTTCTTCAATTGGCGCTGTCTGTGGGAAGAACGACGAGGATTGATTGGTGTTGATCCAAATCGATTCGATTCAGAGCACTTTGCGAAGAAGGCGCTTGATCTCTGAAAGCTGAATCAAGATTGATGGAATTGTGATCTGTCTTGATGAATCTCGGTTCCAGTTGATTTCGAGAGGTTGGCGTCCGATTTACGCAGATCTGATCTGTGCTTGTTCCGGCGAGCTGCGCAGTTGCGAGTTGTTGAGATTGCCGCATTCGGCAAGCTCGTAGCTGAAGTAATTCAAATCCGGCCAGTAACGAACAGAATTCAACAAGTTTGAGTCCAGATCTGGTGCGTTTGCATTAGCAAAGCTCAGATCTGATCAAGAAATCCGCGGTTAATGACTTTGCTCCGATCAGGAATGATGATCGGAGAAGAGAGTTCAAATCCCTTGGAGAATGGCCAGCAGTCGAAGCTCGATGAGTTGATGAACATGATCGAAGCCCTGAGAAAAGAAAATGCAGAATTGCGAGCTGGAATGGAGCGTCGTGAAGCTCCTACTATTCCGAGGCCACCTCCGGTTGTAGAGGGAGTCTTACTGTTCAATGCTATTCATCAAGGTGATCCAGAAGGTGTCAATCGCGTGGATCCTCATCGTGCTGAAGTTTTAGTAGGCGATCTACCTCCAAATGTCCGTTAAGTAGAGGATCGAGAGGGATCTATTCATTTGGATCCGCACCGCGAACGGATCATGCGAGAGGAAGCGCCGGTGTACGATCATAGGGCTGCATCATGGCAAAGTGAGTTTGCAGAGGACAGATCGTTTGATCCACCCTATCGACCTTCAATGGCAACATTTGATTACTACAGTTCAGAAAGGAGATCTGCCGATCATGGAGTTCCATCACAGTTTTCAAGTAAGAACGAAGCACTGCGCTCATCAGCAAGGACGGTTGCATCTCCGTTCACTGATGAAATCCTAAACGCTCCAAATCCGAAGAAGTTTTCCATGCCGATCTTCATTCTGTTTGATGGAATAACCAACCCGATCGACCACATCGACCACATTCAGTTGAAAATGGCTTTGAATACTAACAATGATCCTTTGATGTACAAATGCTTTCCTACAAGTTTGGCTGGGCCAGCCCTCAATTGGTTTAAGAATCTGGCTCAAGGCTCAATTGCTAGTTTCCAGGACTTGTGTGACAAGTTCATAAGCCAGTACTATGGGAATAAACGCCCAGCCAAGGATGTTTCAAGCCTTTTTACAATGAAGCAGCACGAAGATGAACGACTCCAAGCTTTCCTCACCCGGTTTAACCTTGTCAAAAGCATGGTAATGGAATGTCATCCGTTTACAGCGGTCCAAGCGTTTAAACTTGCAATGAACCGAGGGACACCGTTCCACACAAGCCTAGTGGTGAATACGCCGAAGACCATGGACGAGCTGAACGAGAGAGTTGATGGTTTTGTGCGTTTGGAAGAAGAAGAGGCAGCTAATGCAAGGAAGACATCAATTATTTCAACAGAAGAGAAGTCCAAAGCCAAGATTTGGCAAAAACAAGCTCAGCCACAACGCTAGACCTCCTGGAAGGCAGAGAAAAGGCCTAGAGAGGAGGAGTTGGCTACTCCACTTAGAGTTACCCTGGCAAGGTTGTATCAAGAGAATAAAGATAAGTTTCGCTTTCCCTTACCAATCAGACAACCTCTTGAACAGAGGGATCAATCTAAACATTGTGCTTTCCATAGTGACTTTGGACACCAGACTAATGAATGCAGGAATCTCCACCCAACAAAAGTGGGGAGGAGGAGCCGCCAGTTCTGACCGCAGAACCTCTTCTTGATGTGCAGATCGACCATAAGAAGTCGGACCGAACAACGAGGGTGGGATCCAGACTTGTTGAAGAGGAGAAACAAGGGTTGATTGATTTCTTGACTCAGAATGCAGATGTGTTCGCGTGGAGCCATTCAGACATGCCAGGAATTAGTCATTCTTTGTCCTGTCATTCCCTCAATGTAGATCCGAACGCAAAGCTTGTGAAGCAGAAGCAGAGAAGATTTGCTCCAGAACGCAATCGAATCATAGCTGAGGAGATTGATCGGTTGCTCGAGGCTGGATTCATTAGAGAGGTTCAATACCCGGCCTGGCTCTCCAATGTCGTTGTTGTGCAGAAAAAGAATGGGAAATGGAGAGTATGTATTGACTTTACTAATCTGAACAAAGCTTGCCCAAATGACAGCTTCCAATTGCCAAGGATTGATCAAATGGTGGATGCCACTACTGGGTACGAGCGATTAACCTTCCTAGATGCTTATTTAGGTTATAATCAGATCCCTATGGACCCGATTGATGAAGAGAAAACTTCTTTTGTTACCGAACGTGGGACCTACTGCTACAAAGTCATGCCGTTCGGATTAAAGAATGTTGAAGCTACTTATCAGAGGCTAATCAGCAAGATTTTCAAAACTTAAATGGGGAGAACTGTGGAGGCTTACATTGATGATATGGTGGTAAAGAGTAAGAAGAAGGATGATCACTTGGAGCACTTACAGGATGTGTTCGGTGTGTTGAGGAAGTACGGAATGAAGCTTAATCCAACCAAATGCTCATTCGGCGTAAGCTCTGGCCAATTCTTGGGACATGTGGTCAATCATAGAGGAATTGAGGCTAGCCCAGCCCAGGTGGAAGCTTTGATCAGAAATGCAGAACCAAAGACAATTAAAGAACTGCAAGCACTCACAGGTCGAATAGCTGCACTGAGCCGATTCATTTCTAAGCTCTCATACCGTTGTAAACTGTTTTTTGACACGATATGAGGCCATGGAAGACAAGCCTGGGGGGATGAACGACGATAGGCATTGACCAACCTGAAAGATTACATGCGAAACCCTCCGGTTCTATCTGCTCCCGAGCTAAATGAAAAGCTTTTTGTGTACCTTAGGGTATCCAGCATCGTAACATGTGCCGTTCTGATCCGTTGTAAAGACGGAAAGCAATTCCTAGTGTTTTATGTCAGCAAAACAATGGCTGAGCCAGAAAGAAGGTACTCAAAGGCCGAACGGATGATCTTGTCGTTGGTCAACGCGAAAAGGAAGCGCAGGCATTATTTCGAATCCCATCCAATTGTCGTCTTAACTACTTTTCCTATAAGGATGATCTTGCACAAGCCAGACCTATCAGGAAGAATGACAAAATGGGCCATTGAGTTGAGCTCATTTGATATGAACACAGAACGGCAATCAAAGGTCAAGCGGTGGCTGATTTCCTACTTGAATGTGATGTTGAAGACTTGGAGGAAGATTATAGTTGTTCCTTATGGAAGCTCTTTGTTGATGGCTCTTCAAATCAAATAGGGGGCAAGAATTGGAATCAAATTGCAAACACCAGAGGGCACCACGCTGAGCCAAGCGATCAAACTTGAGTTCAAAGCAACCAACAACGAGGCTGAATACGAGGCATTGTTAGCTGGGCTGCAGTTGGCTAAAGAGCTGAAGATCAAGAATCTAATTGCTTATAGCGATTCACAGCTAATCGTTCGGCAAGTAACTGGAGAATACGGAACCAAAGATAAGACTATGGAAGCATACCGAACCGCAGTTCTGCGTGAGGCAAAAGACTTCGATTAGATTAAGTTCATTCAGTTGCCGAGGGAGTATAATGAAGATACCGATTGCTTGGCTTGTAGTGCATCCAGTTCTGAAGAAACACTGGCTAGGGTCATCCCGGTTGACGTGTTGATCTAGCCGTCCATTTTTGATGAATTGCCCGATCCGGGCGCTCAGCAAGTTAATGTTATACTATATGAGCCGAGCTGGATTGATCCCATCATGGCTTTCGTACGTGATGGTGTGCTGCCCGAACAAAAAGATGAAGTAAGAAAAATCAGGTCCAATGCCGCGAAGTATGCTATTGTGTGTGATCAGTTGTACAGACAGTCCTTTTCGAGTCCATACTTGAAGTGTGTTACCCCAACAGAGGCTAGACAGATCATGTGAACCATTCATGAAGGTGTATGCGGAAATCATTCGGGAGGAAGATCTTTGGCACACAAAGCAATGACACAAGGGTACTTTTGGCCAAACATGGCATGGGATGCAGAAGAATTCTCTAGAAGATGCGATAAATGCCAAAGGTTCAGACCATTGATCCACCAACCACCTGAAGACTTGTACGTAATGGCCACGCCATGGCCTTTCACGCAATGGGGGATGAATGTGGTTGGCCCTCTGCCGACCGCAAGATCGCAGAACAAGTACGTTCTGCTAGCAACAGATTACTTCCCCAAGTGGGTAGAGGCAGAGCCGTACCCCAGTGTTACCCAAACTCAAGTAAGACGCTTCATCTGGAATAATATTATCTGTCGCTTTGGCATACCAAGGTTGATCGTTATGGACAATGGGACCAATCTCGATAGCAAGCAAGTGAAGGAGCTACTGGAAGAATATGGAATTAATCAAAAGTTGGCAGCAGTCAGCCATCCCCATGCTAATGGTCAAGCTGAGATCACGAACAGGACAATATTTGCTTGCATCAAGAAGAAGCTTGAAGATGAAAAAGGAAAATGGTTAGACGAGCTTCCGAACGTCTTGTGGGCTTACAGAACAACCCCAAGACGGCCGACCCGGGAGAGCCCATTCGCTATGACGTATGGCACCGAGGCAGTGATACCAATCGAGCACTTAGTTCCAATCGTTAGAAGCTTGGCATGGAATCAAAAGCAGAATGATAGAATGTTAAGGTTTAATCTTGATCTGCTGGAGGAGGAAAGGGACGCAGCTGCAATAAGGCTTGCTTCTTATCAGCAGACGCTCGTAAATAGCCATAACAAGAAGGTGAAGCACAGAGATTTCGCCCTTGGCGATCTGGTTCTGAAAAGGAAGGTGGGGATAGTCAAAAAGATGTTTTCGTCATGGGAAGGTCCATACAAGGTTGCAGAAGTCATAGGGAAGTGGGCATACGTCCTAGAGACCATGGCAGGGAGGTTGGTCAGTAAACCATGGAATGCCACGTCTTTGAAAATGTACTACTAATAGAAGTAGAATTTAATTCCGAACAGTATGCTCGTTTTGACTTGCATACTTGCAAGTGTATGAAATTCTCAAGTTCTATGAAAAAAAGTTTATTTTGCTTAAAATTAATTGGTATTCCACATAGCAGAGCAAGTGGCAACTGGCATTACGGGCCGAACGCCAAGCTCTTGCATAAAAATAAATATACGCCAAATGGCAAGGGGCATTCTAGCCGAGCGCCAGACACATAGCAGAGCAAGTGGCAACTGACATTACGAGCCGAACACCAAATTCTTGCATAAAAATAAATATATGCCAAGTGGCAAGAGGCATTCTAGCCGAGCGCCAGACACTTAGCAAAGTAAGTGGCAGCTGGCACTACAAGCTGAACGCCAAACACTTACTCAAAAATAAACATATACCGAGTGGCAAGTGGCATTCTAGCCGAGTGCCAGGCATATAGCAGAGCAAGTGGCAACTGACACTACGAGCCGAACGCCAAACTCTTGCATAAAAATAAATATATGCCAAGTGGCAAGGGACATTCTAGCTGAGCGCCAGACACATAGCAGAGCAAGTGGCAACTGGCAACTGGCACTACAAGCCGAACGCCAAACACTTGTTCAAAAATAAAAAACATATGCCGAGTGGCAAGTGGCATTCTAGCCGAGCGCCGGGCACTTAGCAAAGTAAGTGGCAGCTGGCACTACAAGCCGAACACCAAACACTTATGAAAAGTGAAATTTAAAAATTGAAATTTGAAAATTGAAACTTGAAATTAAAGAAAAAGTTAGGTATCAAGTTATTATATCATCTAGAATTGAAGAATGGAAGTTTTGCCAAAAATAGGTATTATCATTCCCAGTTCCTTCATTACAAAACAATCTTGAGGTACATGGCTTGATGTTCTGAGGATACATGAAGATACATTCAAAAAAAAAAAACTGTTGCAAGAGATTGCAGAGTGCTAGTTGGCACGATCTTCTCCAAGCTATGACTTATTGTTTCCCCTATCATTGCCCTCTGGCCCATTGTGGCCCCTCCGTTTTTAGCTGTACCATCATCCTTGGAGGGAGAGTCAAGATGAATCACCCCCTCAGTTAGCACGAGTCTGTCAGAGGCAACTGATGTGGAGGGGATGATAGTAGTAATAGGAGGAACGTCAAAGGATGGAAGGGTGGAACAACCCTTGAGGCTGCAACCTCTCTGCATTCAATAATGATATTCTCAGCAGGGTCGTAGGGTGGATTTTGGTAGTTGCTTGGTGGATGGATGTTTAAAGAGGCGTCCAGCTCATCCAGACCAGCACAAGAGCTAGATTCACCCTCAGGGGGAGAACGGTCAATAAAGCTGTCTCTATACCCTTCAGCATATCTGAGAGCACTGATTCTAGTGAAGCGGGCAAGGAGAGCTCTCATGCCACCCTCAACTTTGCCAATCATATTCAGCAAAGAAGAGCGTTCATTTAAAAGCTTTTCCTTTGAGTTGGCATGGGTCAACCGTTCAGCAATAAGTGTACGCTGAAGGTCTCCTTTCTCAGCCCTCAGTGAGTCCCTTTCAGTCAGGGCGACGTTCTTCTCAGTTTTCAGGACATCAACTTCATCCTGAAGAGAGTCCTATTCAGCCTTAAGGGCCTCCCGTTCAGCTTTCAGGGTGTCCCTCTCATTTGCCAGAACGTCTTTCTCAGTTTTCAAGGCGGTAGTTTCTTTCTCTGACTCGTTCAGCTTAGACACAAGCTCAGCGTTTTTGGCCTCAAGCCGGTTCTCCGCTTCAATGGATCTTTTAAGGCCAACAGAGAGAGACTTGAGCTTCTTGTTCAGAACCTCAATGGTCTTCTGAAAGGTGAACATTCTAAATAGAGTCTGCACAGAGGAAGGGAGGTTCTGGTCAGTTCAGCCACTAAATAGTTAAAATAGAAAAGAGACGTATCTTAATAAGAAGAAAAGTTACCTCAACGGTAGCTGTTGGGAACTGCCGGTACATCTCACCAAAGGTCATCTTGTTCTGGATTTCAAGATCATTGGGAGTCCAGAAACCCTTGTAGAAAGCAAAAGATGTGAGGGGGTCCTGGTATAAAGAATCTGTAGGGCCAATGGTCGAGCCTTCTTTACGGCTGAGCAGAGGGCGCCATAGAAGAACGGATGGTGCTAGACCAGAGGTTCTGGCAGATTCACCCTTTGGAATGAAAAGTTGAGGTGGAGGCATGGGATCAGTGATCCTGAAAGAAGCCATCCTGGTCCTCCGAGCTAGTGGGATGTTGCTTTGATCATGACCGCCCTCAGGCATTGGCCTTTTTCCCAGACTTTTCTCTGACATACCAGCTTTAACTGGAGGAGACCCTCCATTGTTCTGAGATCCCCCAGCATCCTGAGTGCTCTTTAAAGAAGTGTCAGACAGAATGTTTGAAGGCACATTGGTGGGAGCAACAGGAAGGGCCTCAGCAGAATGATCACAACACGGGTCTCAGCAGGGATGGATGCAGAAGGCCCGTCAGCAGAATGATGTGCGACTTGAGTTATAACTGGAATAGTTATGACCTGTTCTGGAGCTGAGACAGCTGAGGTGGATGATGTGGTAGCAGGTGTAGAGGAAGATATGGTAACAGGTGCAGCAGAAGGGATGGGAGCAGAATGCCTCCTCCTGCTGAAAGATGAAATCTGAATGCTCTCCATTGTAGATCCTAGGAGAGAGATGTCAGAGAGGTTGCCAGGAGTGAGCAAGTCTGTAACTGAAGGGACGTTGTTCAGCACTTTCTCTTGTAAGATGTCTAGCTTGGCCCTGCAAACGCTATAAATCAGTTCGTCATGAGGTATTTGAAGGCATTTACGAAGAAAAGTACAAAAATAGGGAAGGCAACTTTCATAGTGGCATTCAGTGGGATGTGTTTTCAGTTTTTTTATAACCAGAGATAGAGCATACTCCAAAGGTGGAGGGGATAGAGAAAGATTGGCCGAACGGAGTCCGCCAATTCCCATTGACCCCAATCAAGTTTTGTCTCCAACCTTTTTCAAAGGAGTTCTTGTTCGTACAGATCGATCGTTTTTCAATAGGATAGAAATGATAGTACTTCTCACTATGTTTGATTTTGTTAATTCGGTAGCAGAGGAGGAGGTCAATGACGTCAAGATTGAGACCCCTGTCACGGTTCAAGAGCAGAAGGACTGAAATTACCCTAAGGAAGTTAGGGTTAACTTGCAGAGGGCAAAGCCCCAATTTGTTGAAGATATAGCAGAAAAATGGATGTAAGGGGAACCTAATTACGTTTAAGTGGACAGCAGAGAATAAAATCTCCCCAGGAAGGAGACCCTCACCAGAGCTCCCATCCAGGTTTGTGGGGTAGATCCTGAGAGAAACGTCATTGGGAATGCTATTTTTGGAATGAATGGCATTCAAATTAGGGGGAGCCATGGAGAAGGGGAGGAATTTTTGATAATGAATGTTTTTCTTTCAAAAAAAAAAAAAAAAATAGTTAAAAAAAAAAAAACTGACCTTGAGGAAGGAGTTTGTGAAGTACTCTGCAACAGCACAAGAGCCAAATCGCGAAGGAAAAACTCGCCGGAAAATGCAGGAAGATGACAGAAGAGACTCGAGAAGACAACAACGGAGGATAAAAGTAGAATATGTTAAAGGAAGACAAGGATTGAGAGGATTATGGTTTTTAAAGAGAAGAAATGGAGGCGACACAGAATTCGAAAGGTTAAGGTAAAAGTGGCGTAGCAGATCTCGGAGTCTGGGTCTTCGTGCCAGCCGTTCGATTCCCTATGTCATCACTCCGAGCCATCAGACCAAGATTGTGTCTTTTCAATTATCTTACCCTAATTAATTAAGGGAGAGATTATGAGGGCAGATGAAGACACCAAAAGTGACCCGGGCTTGGTATGATTCATATTGCTAAGAACGGGTCAGGTGGGGATAACCAAGACGAAGTAAGTCCTCGCTGAATGGGCCCAGGTCCAGAAAGTCAGTAAGGAAGCCCACATTGCGATGAAAGGAGTTGGGCCCAAGTAAAAGGAAAGAAGATAGGTCCAGCCCATGAGTGATTGTAACCGTCTATAAATAGACGGAAATGAGAGGGAAAAGGGGTTGAAAAAAATTGTTTGAAGTGCACCATTTCTCTTTCTAGATTGGGGAAAATTTAAGTGTTTCTTCAATGATTTATGTCCTAATTCCAGCTACCAAGATTTTAGGTATACACTTCATGATTACTAGTTTCATAGGTTTAATGAATACTACTAATGAAATTTAGTCCAGAAGATTTAGAGTTTCAAACATGAAGTTTTCTGTTGTGATGAAGAGCAGATTGAAGCAGTTCTAACTCAGTTGATGGCTTTCTATATGACAGATGGCATCAGTGTTCTTTAAGGAGGCGGTCTCTCGGCTTGTTAGTTCATTCAATGATCGTTGTCGTGTGATATATGGACCAGGGGTTCGAATCCTTGAAAACACTTACGGCCAAGGAGTGTGAAAGTGTTCGGCTTATTTGATGATGATACCTTGTAAACTCGAATGCCAATTTATATCCTCTGTGCGCTTCACACAAATTTCAAATCAACGGAATCTAATTCATTTCTCACCATGTCCGCTAGATTGTTGTTCTGTGTACTGGCCGGGGCCCATTGCTCATTTATTTTTGCCGGGTGCTGTGCGAAGGTTCGCTTCTAAGGCCCGCTTGCTAACTGTTCTCGGTTGTTGTTTATCATTTAAGCTTAAATGCAAGTAGTGTTTATGTTAGGTTGTTGTTTATCAATAATTGAAATATTGTTTGATAACACGGAAATGCTGAGCTTGTTTTGAAAATGAAAAACAAAGAACATTGTCTGTTAACCTTAAATTATTTAAAGAAAAATATAACAAAATAAGTTGTTTAGTAATTCTAAAATGTTTGAAGAAATTGAAAATGGAGACATAGCCTTCTTCTAGAAATTGTCTGAAGCCTATTTTTTATTTTTATTTTTAGTTTGGGACTTGCACGTGCTCATCTTCATGGTATGTTGATCAAAGCAATTTTTTTATTTATTTTTAACCTGGCAATGGTTAGAGAGTTAGGAATTAGTGGGAGTTAGGGGAAGGGGATTTGAACTTGGGAGCATATGGTGGGGGCACTTATGGCCTGCCCTTTACCACTCGGACCACCATACTTCAGAAATTTTTTTGCAAATGTGCAAACTCTCTTTTATTATAATCGCACTCTAATTTTAAAAGATTTGACATTTTCTGATTTTATAAATAAATTGATTATTTTATCTCAAATACCACAGCTGCCTTTTGAGATGTTTTCGTTTCCCCCCTCTCGGATCTTTAACCTATTTGGTCTCCCGCATTGCTTGACCCTTTCTCAATTCTCCTTGTGTCTCTTAATTTCAATAACTGCCAATTCGTAGGACCACCGGCACTGCAGCCGCCACCACCATGCGAAGCCACTCCAATGATTGCTTGCTTTAGAATCATGGGATAATTCCAAAAAAAATGGATTTTTGGAGGTAAAAGGTAAAAAAGATTGAGTCAAACTTTAGTTTTCCAAATAAATGGAGTTTTATGAAAGGCTGACGTGAACATGGAAATTTGTTGCGAAATGACCCAACTACCCATTGAATTAATCTGCCCTTTCTCTCTCTTCATCATTTTAGCATGCCTCTGCCTCGCCATTGACACAGCCAAAGGTAAGTAAGAGTGCGGTAAGGAATAGAGTTGGCTTTCTGAAGTTCAATTTGAAGACAGATATGAAGATTTGATTTGTTAAATTGTTTATTCTCTTCTATGACTCCAGGATTTCTTAATCCAATAATCTAGAGATAGCATCTTCTTGTGGACTTTGTTCCTTCTCTTTACTCGAGAGACTTTTGGCCTATCATCCCTCTTTGAGTATAAAGTCTTTGCCCTTCTTGCCAGTCCTTATTTGCAGACGTCCCTCTTGGTTCGCTCAAATTTCTAATAGAGGGGGAAAGTCTAGCTTTCTGGTACCCATCATGATCAAAATTTCTTGTCGTCTTCGGAAATAGCATATTTTCATCGGAGCCTGAACTCAACGTGGAATCGTGACAGAGTCGATGGTTTATGTGTTGGTTTTTGTGTGCCGGAGCTTGAAGTCACCTCGGCATCACGACTTCCTTGCTGATTTTTCTCTTCTTCGACTATGTCAACGGGAGGAAGGGAGCCATCAATCCCTAAAGTGATAAAAGAGAGAAATGACAAATCAATTAAATGGGTAGTTGGATCATTTCATAACAAATTCTTATGCCCACGTCAGCCTTTCATAAGACTCCATTATTTGAAAAATTGAAGTTTGACTCTGAAGATGCAAAGATTTTTCTATCTTTCTTTTTACAGAATCTTATTACATTTTCAATAATCAAAAATCAAATCCCCTAGTTCATTCTCTTCACTGCCCTTTTATAGGCAATTACAAGTGCTGCTGGTTTATCTCTTTTGGGCCTTCTTTCCAATGGGCTCGGTCCTCTTCAGTGGATCCTCCAAGCTCAGCCCATTCCGTGGTGCTTTTGTATGGGCTATACTTCAATTGTTTGCCTCGATCCCATGCCAGCGAGCTATAACCGGCCCATATCACTTATTGTATTCTCAACTGTCCCCATAATTACTCCCTATTAATTAGGGGGTAATTATTAGAGGCTGCTAATCATGACCTGACGGCTCGAGAAGATCGCATGGGAGAATGGACGGTTAGATTTGGGGGTCGGCGCTTCGAGATTCAAAAAACTCCTCGCTTTCCTGACTCCTCGGCCCTCGGGCCCACCTTGTCTTTATAAGCCTTATAGATGTTCCATCGATTCTCTTTACCGTCTCCATCTCACTTTTTTGTTGCTCGAATCTTCTCCGGCGATTTCTTACAAAAGCTCTTTTTTCCAGCGACCTTGCAGTACTCTTTGATGTCCTCACTCTCTGAGGTTAGTTTCATTTACCTTTTTCTTTCTGAAGACCTCTTTTTCTTCCTTAAAATCCTCATTCATTCTCACAATGACTGTAGATCTAGACGTTCTTCGCATGAGACTTCATCTTCCTGACGATATACAAATTAGAAATTGCCCTAAAGAGGTGAATATTAGAACCGGTGCTGGCCTTCTTCCCGGCGAGGTTCTGTTTTCACACCTTCATCTTAACCTCCTTTGGTTCCCTTTGCATCCCTTTTTTTGTTACATTTTTAATAAATTGAAACTTTCCCCTTTGCAAGTAAACCCAAATTTCATTAGGATTTTATCTGTTATGTTGCTTCTGATCCGTGACAGAGGTCTATATCTGGACCTCGTAGATCTTCTCCTCTGTTACAAGGTTAGTAAAATCAGAACTAATGAACCGTTTTACCACTTCTACCCCATTGAGAAGAGGTCCATCTGCAAAGATAAGTTCAAACCCGAGAAGGGTTGGAGGAAAAATATAATTGGGGTTAGGGGAGCCTGGTTTTCTCTAGCTGCAGAGGATTTCCCTATCTCGAGCGCTTTTGGAGAGTGCTCTGTCTCTTCTTATAAAAAATACTGTCCTTGCGAGATTTGCATTCCTCGTTTTTGTACTTTCTTATGCCGTTCCTTAGGCATTCCTTAGGATTATTTGAGCTACGGTGTGTGTAGGGATAGGGATAACTACCTGAAGCAGTACGTTCTGACCGACATTCCCTCCTGCTCGGACCTCCTCACTTCAGACAACCTCCTTGCTCTCTCAGCCCTCGGCAAGACAATGAGTCAACTCCAGATCCCTTCCTTTGGCAGGAGGAAAACTGCCCCCAGGCCCGTTGCTGCCCCTGCAGCAACTTCTTCTCCAGCTTTAGTATCTTCCTCCACCACCATTTCTGATACCACTCCTTCCACTGATCCGATTGTGACGGCTATTGACCCGATCTCCAACACAACGACCGCTAGTCCGAACGTGACCCCCTCTGTCAACAACCTTCCCAGCTCTACTACTGCTTCTGCACGGGAAAAGACAAGAGGAAAAAGGCATCAGCCTGATAGTGCCCTCAGCCTCGATGATGTTCCTTTGTCACAGAGGGTTAGGCCTTCTGGGCCGAATGTGTCCGTGCATCCTCTAACCAGGCCTCCTCTGACTAGGTCCCCTACCCCTTCTGGGCATGCCTCTGCCTCAGGAACGGCACCATGGAACCCTCGTTTCATTCGAACTGACGAATCGTCTGTAAAGCCGAACGAGACCATGTTCAAGGATGGTCAGACCACTATGGCATACTACAGGAGCATGTGGACTCCTAAGGACATTGAGGTAGCCAAGGGTCTGTCTCAAAAGGAAGTGTTTAGCCGGTTTCCCTTATCTGCCATGGAGGTAACTTCTGCCTCTTAGTCAATGAATCATTATACAGTCTTTACACTTGATTTCTTCTAACCATCTGCTCGGCTTAACCAGTTGTCATGTATATCTCTACAGACCCTGTACGGGATGATGGCTATGCAAAAGCAGGTTGAGCTGGTGAATGCCAAGGTTCGCACGCTCTCTGACAGCCTTGGTACAGCTAACAAGGAGAACGATGCTTTGGCTGCCCAGAAGACCGGGTTGATGGTTCAGCTTGGCAAAGTTGAAAAGGAGAGGGACTCCCTGAAGAAGGAGAAGGACTCTCTTCAGGATGAGAGGAATGCTTTGCAGCTCGAGAAGAGCGTTTGGCATACCGAGCGAGAATCCTTTAAGGCTGAAAAGGAAGAACTGCTACGCCTTCTGAGTGATGAGCAATCCACTCGGATGGCTTTTGAGAAAAAGGCTTTGGACGAGCGCAATGCTTTACTCGACACCATTAGTATGGTAAATGGTGGTATGCTAGCTCTGCACGCTCGGTTTTCCAGAGTTGGGGCCCTCAGATATACTCAGGGGTTCCGAGAAGATTATGCCTATCGTGTTCCGGGTGAGGGTCAGACTGGTTCTACCCCTGATGAGGTTGACAGGGAGCTGGAGATTGATCCTCCGGGTATTTATGCCGATCCAGACTCCACCCCTGCTGAGGGCATATTTGATGAGTGCCAAGAGATTGCCTCTTCCCGGATCACTCCTACTCCTTCTACCGCTCTGACTTTGGACGTTCTTCCTCTGTCCATTGTGACTCCATCTGTCACAGCTGCTGAAGATAACCCTCGGCGGAATGATTCTTCTAATGCTATTGAGGATAGGACTCAGCAGAATGATTCTGTCATTCAGCTCGATTCTCCTCCCCGTGAGGATGGTAACGCCAACAATGATGAGGAGGGCGTTCAGCACCATCAAGAAGCTGACGGGGCAAATGCTTATAGTTAGAACCTTTTTGATGTATTGACCTTCCTTCTTTTGTATTTTTGCCATCTATATGCCTCATCATTTTTTGTAACTCTTAAGCTTTATCATTAATGAGATGGCCGACTTTTGATTGAACTCTTACCATAAATCCTTTGATTTAGTGATTCAATGCTATCTGATCTGGTTCTTCTCTGTATGTCAGTATTTGGCCAGCAAAAGTTTTTTGCGCAAGTTTCTGGCGTTTGGCTCATGGTGCCAGTTGCCACTTACTTTGCTGAGCGGTTGGCGCTCGGCTAGAATGCCATTTTCTACTCTCATTCTTTTATTTTTTAGCAAGTTTTTGGCGTTCGGCTCATAGTGCCAGTTGCCACTTACTTTGCTGAGTGGTTGGCGCTCGGCTAGAATGCCACTTGCCACTTTTACTCTTTTATTTTTTTGGCAAGTTTTTGGCGTTTGGCTCATAATGCCAGCTGCCACTTACTTTGCTGAGTGGTTGGCGCTTGACTAGAATGTCACTTGCCACTTTCACTCTTTTATTTTTTGGCAAGTTTTTGGCGTTCGGCTCATAATGCCAGCTGCCACTTTCATTGCTAATTTTTAAACATTTAATTTTTTCATAAGAAGATAGCTCTTTATAGATTTCAAAATTTCATTCATTCGTGCGTACACAATTTAAGAATGATCAATGATAAAATTGGAACTCGATTTTCTATTGATAATACCTTTTCAGGGACGTAGCATTCCATGGCTTGTTGACCAGCCTTCCGGCCATGGTTTCTAAAGTGTAAGCTCCATTCCCTAAGACTTCTGCAACTTTATATGGGCCTTCCCA